CATTTATACATTTATTGCAAAAATATGTAAAAATCAAATAAACCATGAAATCATTTATTTTTGTAATTTTTTTTTGACAAAATTAAATTATATCATATGTTGGCCAATAGATCCCAATAGATTTCAATAGATCATCATCTATTAAGATCCATTGACCAACGATTTATTCATGCATACTGCGTCATTTGGATCTAATGGATTACCAATGGATCTGATCCATTGGATCATTTAGCTATTGAAGTCCAATGGATCTGATCCATTTCCAACTCTGTATCAAGATAATAGACCCTTTCCATAATAAAATGCCAATCATAATCAGAATCATTTAAACCCAACTTGAATGTTAGGGGCAAATGCTTATCAGCAGAAGGCAAATGCTTTTAGCAAATTTACCTGATTTCTGCATATGATTGTAACCTATCATTGGTCTGGCGTAGTTTCAAGATTGACAAGACAGATTTGTTTTAATGGTTTTGGATCATCTTTCCAGTATAATATCATACAAATCATAAAGACCTTGTTTTTCTGTTCAAGAACTTCTGCAAATTCTTCCATTTGTGAGACATATATTTCTATATCCCATGTAAAAATAAGAGTACAATCTCGTAAGAGAGCTAAATGGAAAATTGGTCGCTTATTGTTGTAAGATCTTCTAGCAGACAAAAATCTTTTATAGACACATAGAATTCATGTAGACAAAGTGAGCTGGTCTGCTTACCTTTCTTACATATATATTTGTTTAATGTAAACCACCTAGAAAGTTGGATTCCATTTTCTCGAGTTACCTTTCGATAGAATGAATATAAATCATCTAAAGCAGTTTTGAAATTATTTTCTTGGATAGCTTGGATGGCTTTCTTTCTCTCTTCATTACCATTTATATAAATTCATAAATATGACTTTTTTTTCAGTATGATAACCCCGAAAAGGAAAAGCTTTAATGTGCTCTATTTTAAATGATTTTACAATGCCAGAGAGAATTTCGTTTATCTTTCCTCACATTCATCTGAAGTCTCTCCATCTGGTATGAGAATGTCAAAGAAAACTTGAATGTCTATAAGAGTTACCAATGCCTTTTAGTCATTAATAAGGTGACAATAAAGACGCAATATATAGCGATACATTCTATTTATCCTTTCTGTTGATCCTTTATTCTCAATGACCATGAATGAAATATCTTGTCATTTAGATAAAGTATCTTTGAGGATTGAAGATAATCTCTCATCATTTTCTGCAACTATATCATCCAGTATTTGAATGTCTAACAAGTTTTTTTCACCAGAATAGTGAATCAGTTGGCCTTCCATTTTATCTTTTCAGCCTCTGGATAAAAAAGCAAGGCAGAGGCGTCAGAGAGGAACTCTGAAAGCTTGGATTGTGTCATTTTTCTTAAGCAATTTAAGATAATTTATAGTTATACCAAAACTCAAGGTATAATATTAGCAATAAAAAACTTTAAAATGAAATTAATTAACTGAGATTATTAATCAATATACAAATGGGAGGCAGAAAAAAAGGTGACATTCTAACATTATATAATTGTCCATATATTCTTAGAACTAGAGAAGTGTACAATTGGAGATGCTATCATTCAAAGGGATATAAAGTCTATCAGTATTCTTAGCAAATTCCTTGCAAACAACTTAGGTATAAGGAATGGACTAGAGGCAGATATGAATTTTGTCATCCACATGCAAAAAAAAATTAGAGAAAATAAATACTACCATCAGAAAAGGCTGGCTGAGCTGGCTAAGCTGAATATGTGTATATTTTATGATCCATATGCAAAGAAACATAAAGCAAAAGAAGAGTATCATCAGTAAAAATGGGAACTGTAATTAATATGTTGCAACTTTTAATGTTGCAATTAGTTTTAACATATATATGTTGTAACTAATTTAAGCTTATGTTGCAACATTTTGTAAATTTGAAATCAATTGCTGTACCATCTTTAATCATCAGAAAAAGCTGGCTGAACTGGTTAAGCTGATTGAGGGAGGTGATTCAAAATAAAAAGTTATTATTATCCCTATGGCCATTTTAGACGCTAAAATTTCTTGTCACAAAGAAAAAAAATTCTTGGTGACAGCTCTTGGTAGCATCCTTATATAGCTAATTCGTATTTTTAGAGCTATCGAAAGGTTTCTAGATAAGATGTCATCTTATCACTAAGATTCACAAAGAAAAATCGAACTTCTTAACTTTTTTTTTATTTTTTTGTATATATGTATCATGTATATGACATATACCAAAAAAGATATCATAGAAAAATTTCAATTTTTTTTTCTAGAACTTTACTTTTTCTTTGTGATTCTTAGTGACAAAGTGATAAATATAAAGAAAGATAATCAAGTGTTTCCAAACTTTTAAAAAAGCATATAAGGGTGTCACTAAGAGCGTCACCTAGAAAAAAAAATCGAAATTTCAAGGTGACAGCAAAAAATTGAAAAAATATGTAGCACAAATTCATATATATTGGATCTAAAAACATTTCCAGAACATTCTTGTCACTAACCTATAACTATGTGAGGGTGTTCTGTTACCAGAATAGTATCACGTAACTATGATACAGTAAGGCACAGTATAAATTCGACCAGTACTATTATTATAATAATTCGTCACCCAAGCTAGCATAAAACTGGCTAACTAATAGAACCTCTCTAACTCTCTTCCAGTTCTATGACAGTTCCAGGAGAGTTCCATGATACTATCAGACAACATTATTATGACATCAAATTTGATCCTCAAATCACATACGTAAAAGATCAGCCAGAGTTATACCATAGAGTCAGCTAAAATTAATCGCAAATCTACTGTGCCACTTATCACCTCTTTTTTTACACAATTTTAGTATTTTAAAAGGCAATTAAATAGGCGCGCATTCTCAATATAGAACTGGTAACCAAACTGATACAGAGGGTCAGCATTCTCACTAAAAAACCAGACATTTAAACAAGAATAGAAAGCCAGTACTAGCAATATAGAATTTAACATGTAGACAAAATAGGAACAAGAAGAAAATAGTGATAATTAGATTATATGGTGGTAGTTAGATTAAATGGTGAGTAATAGTTAGATTATATAGTGGTAAATGATATGAATATCAGGAAGGGTTTGAAGGAATAGCTAGAATATAAAATAGATATCTGACACAAGAAAACAAATAGATTATATGGTGATAATTAGATTATATTATTCAGATTATATGATGGTAGTTAGATTATATCTTTTAGATTATATGGTGGTATTCAGATTATATGGTGATATTTAGATCATATAGTGGTACTATAATCTAGGACAAGTGGAATACCACCATATAATATAATTATCATTTTTTTAACAAAATCTACCTTTGATGTTTGGAATAGTGTTTTAATATTAAAAAATAATATTTGTTGTTTTTTTAATAAAAATCTGCCTTTGATATTTAGAATGGCGTTTTAATATTAAAAAAATAACAATTTTAACAAAAATTCGCCTCCGACATTTGGAATGGTATTTTAATGTTAAAAAAACAATAATTTTGTTATTTTTTTAACAATAATTCACCTTTGACATTCAGAACGGTGTTTTAATATTAAAAATTAATAAAAATTAATTTTTTTATTAATAAATGTCACGTTAGACTTTCAGGGCAGCATTTTATTATTAAACATTAATTTTTAATAATAAATGTCGCCTCTGACTTTTGGGACGGCATTTTGTTATTAAAAATTAATAAAAAATCAATTTTTTTTAATAATAAATGTCACCTCCAGCTTTCAAGACGGCATTTTGTTATAAAAATTAATAATAAATTAATTTTTTATTAATAAATGCCGTCTTTGACTTTCAGAATAACATTTTAATATTAAAAATTATTAAAAATGAATTTTTAATAATAAATATTGCATCTGACTTTCGGGGCGGCATTTTAATATAAAAAATTAATAAAAATTAATTTTTTTATTACAGCTAATTTCATAATTTATGGATCATTAATTATTTTTCAATTGCATTCAGTCGCAATATTTTATAGTAATTTTATTATAAAATATTTTTAGTTGTATTCAGTCGCAATTTATTAGTAGTCCATAAATTATGAAATTAATTGTAATAAATGTCGCTTCTGACTTTCTGGGCAGTATTTTATTATTAAACATTAATTTTTTTAATAATAAATGCCGCCTCTGACTTTCAGGATGGCATTTTATTATTAAAAATTAAATTTTTTTAATAATAAATGCTACATCTGACTTTTAGGCGGCATTTTATTATTAAACATTAAATTTTTTAATAATAAATGCCACGTCTGACTTTGGGATGGCATTTTTTATTTCAAATCTAACAAATCAGATCTGAATTTAAATCTGAATCTGATGGATCGAATCTGAATCCAAATTCAAACCTGTCAGATTGAATCAAATCCAAATCTGAATCCAATCTGGATCTAATAGATTAAATTAAATTAAAATCTGAATCCAAATCTGATTCGATCTGATCTGTCAGATCTGAATCAGATTCAGATTGAATTTGATTGTTTGCAGAATACTAATTAATATCTATTATATTTTATATAATATAATAATATTTTATATATTAAGGATGCATACATTTATTAGAGTTATAACTTTAGTTATAATATTAATAAGTTATAAAATGGTTATAACATATATATTTAAATTTTATATGTTATATATTGTATTATATGTCATATGCTGTATTATGTGTTATATGTTGCATCATGTACTATATATTATATCGTATACTGTATGTCACATTATATGCTATATATTATATCATGTACTATATGTCATACTATATGCTGTATGTCATATCATATAGGAAATGATCAGTAAAAAAGTGAGAAATCCAAATTTTATTCAAATTTATATTATTGGACCACTTGGCTAATCTCAGTCATATATACAAATTTAGCTTAATAATAAAAATTAACAAAAATTTTAGATTTCCTTCTTTTCTACTGATTGCCTTTCATATGCTATATACAATTATCAGTATAAATATATAATTTTAACAATTTATTAAAAGTAAAGCAAATTAAAGAAAATTACATATTTAGAAATTAAAAAATCCAATTTAAAGATTCTTCTTAAAGAAAAAAATTAACCAATTTTTTTGGATTATATTATAAATTAGAAGGTAAAATAATATAGTTTTGATTTTTTTTTTACTATGTAATTCATTATCATTAATATCAATAATCAGTAAAATCAATAATATTCTTTAAAACTAAATCTCTAAAGGTACATTCAAATTATTAGTAATAAAATCATTAACCAATTCTTTCTTATCTGATTTTAAAACCATTACTATTTCTACTAAGACTGCTTATCTAAACTTATTTTAGATTTGATTAAACGTCTAAACCTTGAATTTTGCTAAATTTTTACTAAATGTTTGATATAGTTTTGCTATTTTTATAAGCTTTGATATAATTTTACCTTTTTTTAAATTTCACAGATTTTTTAATAATATTTTAATATAATTTAACCAAGTTTTACTTTTATCATTTAGACGTTTATCTAAACTCTGAATTTTATCTAGCAACCTTAATTCTTACAGATAAATAATTTGCTGCTTCCTTTAATTCATCATATATTAATTTCTTACCATAATTTAAAAGTTCAGATTTATTAGTCAAATAATATGATTTAATTTGGTTATATTTTCAAATTTTTATATTGCTAATCTAGTTTTCTGATTATAATTAACCATTTAAGTATTAAAAAATTCCACTTACAACTAGATTGAAAAGGAATTATTTCAAATAATCAAAGTCCAAGTTAAGCCAAATGGAAAGAATTATTTTTAATAGAACCTACTATAATTCCTATAATTCAGGAATATCAATATTTTTAATATAAGATAAATTATAAGGTGCTAAATAAGCTTCAAATCAGCATAATTGAGAAATTAATTTGTAGCTTTTATGTTTATCATGACCAAGACTTTATCATATTTTTGTTACAATTAAAGCAGTATTTCTAAATCCTCTATTATATAATCTATAACCTATATAAATTAATATTAATAATAAAATAATTAAAAAAAAACAATATAAATTATATAAACCTTTATATTGTAAATATATAAAATAACAGAATAAATGCTGGATGTTGAAATTCAAGATAACAATTGTTGAATATATGTACAGTATTGCTAAAATTTTAAATAGATTTAGATTAGATAACCAGTATATTGCTATTGCTAACTAATCATGTGAATAAAAAACAGCTAAGGTTGTAGTATTTGATTTGAATATATTAATACACTATTTAATAAAAGTCTAAATTGAATGAATATGTTGACATTAAAGATGGTACAGCAATTGATTTCAAATTTACAAAATGTTGCAACATAAGCTAAAATTAGTTGCAACATATATAGGTTAAAACTAATTGCAACGTAAGTTGCAACATTAAAAGTTGCAACATATTAATTACAGTTCTCATCTTTAGTTGACATGTAGTAAAAAACTTTTTATCTTCCAATAGATTATGTATATCTATATTTGAAATAATACGTTGATATTCAAAAATTATCTAAATATTAATAATTATTATTAGTTATTAATTAAAAATTTAAATAATATTAATATTAATTATAAATATACATTTACCCAATCAAAAAAAGAATGTGTGTGTAAAATATAATTTATTGTCATAAATAATAATTCTCATCTAATTTTTACCTATGTATGTAATCCTTCCAATTATTTTCATTTGAACTAAATCTTAACGTAAATAGAAATAAGCCTAATAAGATGTATGAAAAAATTTTGTAATTTTATTACAATCTGTGATAAATTTTTTAATTTTATTCAGTTTCATAAGATCTGCTACTATTAATTAATAGCATGTATAATACATCTAATATTCCAATATGAGAATAATGGCAAATGACACTAGTATAGTTAAATATTTAAAACTTAAACATTTATAAATAAATATCTTTTGTTATAAAGTAAACGAGAAGTGAACAAATAACCCATATAAAAAAATGTCTGGTACTCACATAAGACGTAAACAATAAGATATGTACTGTACAAAGTAATGCTCAATCAAAATTTTATAAACAATCATATAAAAAATATAAAATTTAAGGCTATAAAATATTTGCATTTTCTTTACAATTATCTGAATTATATATCATTAAAAAATTTACATATAAAAAATTGAAATTTCTAAACCATATACAATGTTACATTACAAGATAGAAATTATTTTTTTAAAAGTATAACTTATTAGCATTCAAAGACTCAATCATTAGTAAAATTTAGTTCATTTTCCCTCATTTTTTTTTTTCACATTAGTATAACTTGGGAATTTTTTCTCTTATGAGTAATTTTAATATTCGTGGCTTGTGATATTCATTCTCGTGCGAAATTTTTTTTAACACGACAACTGTCGAAGGTCATAGTAGTGATGATGGATTACGAAGTTGCATGTTCTTAAAGCCTTCAATTGGATTATTCTCAATCATTAAGAAATATATACCTATTCTATTTCATATAATTTATCCCTTTAATTTAATTTAATTGTTAATGTCTCGCCTTTTGTTCTTTGCTTGCTTTCTGAATTTTTTATCCCATGGTTGTAATCTTCATTGCTTGCTTAATGTATTCCAAAAAAGTTTGCTTTAATAACCATGAAATTACAATATATACTATTAAGTTCAGTTCTCTCGTCGTAGATAAGGTATAGGTAGGACAAAATTTGTCTGCAAATTTTTTGGGGGAAACTTATGCTTTTTTAAATCATTTATTTTAATCAAAAAATATTATGAAATGATAACTTGAATCATTAAATAGTCTTTTTTTTTTTTTTTTTTAAAAAAAAAGAGTATATTACCGTATAACAAAATTTCACATTATTCCTATAGTTTTGGTAAGAAAATTTTGTAAATTCCGTAAAACCACCTCAAAAGATTTTAAATCATTTTCTTCAGATATAACGCGGGTACCCATACCCAATAATTTCCTTACAACACGTGTAAATTTTAATAACCTTTCAAACACTTCGGTGAATAAATCCTCAATATCTTCCTTGTTTCTTTCTTCGGAAAAGAAACATGTGGTTAATTGAGAAGTTGCCAATACGAAACTCATCTCAATTATGATAATAGAAGATTTCCAAGTAATTTGCCAAAATTCCAAATCATCAATATTATTAATCTTATTAGTGTCAAGTATATATTCCCATAATTGAATTAACGTCATGCCATGGTCTATCAATTCAAATAGCGTTGCGATAGTTGCCGGATCTTTATCCGTTACTTTCATCAATGGTTCTAAATATACAAGTTGATCTGACCATGACGGTATAGACATGTGAAAGACATTATGTGATTCCGTTAAATTAATATAAGTTGCCAGAATATTTCTGTTAATTGATAAAAGTTTTTGTTGAACTTTTTGCAAAAATTTATTCATTTCGGAACCTCCATCAGATGATGAAGTTAAATTAATATCCGGTAGGACATTCTCGAATGCTAATTTGATCCCGCCAGATAAAAGAATTGTTGATTGCTTCATTTCCTCTGGTGTCAGAGGTGTCATCACTCTTGAAGAATATTTGGGATGTGTGAATAGATATGTTAGCTTCGATAAAAGTATTAACAAAGGATCATAATAATAAGATAAGCATTCATTTGCAATATCCAGATCCAATGAACTTAAATGCATTGATAAATGATATAATAGTATGGTAATGTATTGTATCTCCTCCAATTTGAACATATTCGTCGGTAGTTCACATTCCATTGCCCGTTGAATTTGTTTCTTGTAAAGGCTGATAAATCCAACGACGGATTTCAAGATCATGTTCAAGTCCCTTTTCTCGACCGTACGTAACATAGCGGTAATAACTGCCAACATCAAACACCAAATCTTATGCCAATTTTCTTCTAGATTTGGTTCGACCTTTCCCTCTTGTAAATCTACTGAGAGCTTGTTGTTACAGAATGCCGACATGACCCCATCTATAAGCAATCGCGATGCTCCAACCGGAAAATTGGCCAATGTCAGTAGAAAATAGATCACCCCGTCAGAGAATTTCGGTCGATCTTTCCAAGGCATCGACATGGAATGAATAAACATATTTAGAAGCAAGGTGATTATCTTCTTCTCCATAAGTATTCCCAACCAAATTGAAGGGTACGGATTACACAATGGTTGTATTAGATATTCTAATACTGTTAATATTATCAAAATATCCTCCTCGCGATCTTGGTTAATCTCATCTTGCTTAGTGATTGCAACTAAAAAATCGCATAATTCTGAAAGAAGGGATTGGCAACTTTGTCGAAATCCTGACAATACATTTTCCTCCTCCTTTAATATTTCGTTAGCATCGTGAAGTACCCGTAGACATAATATAAGTGAATGTAAGATTGGCCGGTAGGTAGTTGACTTAAAGTGACCTTCATTCATATTTTGCGTTTGATTTATAACACTGGTAAGAGAATTGTATAACAACGTAACCAATTCGGCGTAATGAACTATCCTTGGTTGAGATAAATCTTCCGAGATTATCAGTTGTTCCATCGAGTGCAACAGCAAATCAGCAAGATCGTCACGAATAGTAATTTCTACATTATGCCCGCGTCGAATTTCTTCCACAAGACGTTCCGCTACCTTCTTGAGTATCAGCCAAGATATATCCGTTTTTTGTTCAGTGATCCAAAATCCATCGGATAAGATATAAGACGTGATTTCCATAAAATACTTCCAAGACCTCAAGAGAACGACTTGAGAGTTAACTCTTGACAAATGATGAGATTCTTCACATAACGACTTTAGAAATGAATTCGCAATAGACGTTTCTTTCGAGAGTTTTAATAATTTCCAAGTCAAATGTATATCGTATTTGAAATTATCCCCATAACGTCGTGTTAAATCATAATCATCACTCCAATACAAGATAGTTAAACGTTCCAATGTAATAGAAGGAGACATATTCTTCTCGGCAAATTTAGTCGACATGAAAATAGGTTGTTGATCGATCCGCGTAAATTTTTCAAGACAAAATTTTAACATATTTTCATCAAGAATATTTTGAAGAATTTTTCTTATCCCTTCCGCGGGTAATGATTTAATAAATTCGCCACGATTTTTGTTTTCTTTATCCTTCATCTGACTTGTAACAAGACAAAGTTCACGACCCAACAACCGGAATAAAAGAGCCTTGATATTACGTCCACAACAAATCTTTTCCACATGAGCATTTGCTCTACTGACAACAGTTCCTTGAGATAGTTCCACCGTCTCATCTCCATGGTGCCCATTATCATTTAATCTCATGTATAGGATTTCCATGATGTTGATCCATAATTCGTTATTTTCCCGTAATTTTTTTAAAATTATAAATTCACCTTTGCGAACATTCTCCCATAATGCACTTAGGAATCGTATAGCAGCAAGGAATACTCGAGGCTCAGTATCATAAACTTTTTTCCAATCCTTTAACAGACCAACAATGACATCATTAATGTTCATCGAAATTTTAAATTTCTTCTTTTTATCAAGTTTGTCGGTCTCCTTTTTCTTGCCTTTACGATCCAACTGATTGGAAATCAACTCAAATCCACCAAAAATCGCCAGTCCAATATGAACCTTGATTGAAACGGTGAAAAAATTTAAGATAGCGACTCGTAAATCTTCAACATTAATTTCAGTCGTAAGCCGTTTTATGAAATTATTATATATGATTATGGTTTCAGCTTCATTTCCAAAGAGTCCACTCAACGATGATTGAAACGGTATAGATCGTTCACACAATGAAAAAAGAAGTGTCATAAGCTCACAAGATAAGATAGGAACTCCCAAGCTATGTGGGTATAAAATATACGAGGAAATGACCATTATCAACCCTCGATTAAAGTTGACATTTGTCCTATCCAACATAGCTAATTCTAACCAGGAAACTTCCGAAGTTTTTAATTTATGAATTTTAAATAACCTTAAAAGAAATGCTAATGACAATTCCAATAATTTATCATACTTATCCAGATGAGAATTGGCGGTCCTTTCGAAATTAAAGGAAAACTTCTTGTTCCTTTCGATGATGGAGAATAAAGGTAAAACATTATATAAACCTTCATTCATCATAAAATGATCCCATAAGTAGTCCCGAAGAGAATCTCGTAACGAATCCTTTGAAACGTTTATTATGGGATCATTATAGTTAGGAAACTCGAAATCTGGAGGACAACCTAACAAGATTTTATTGAAAACCGTCAAACACTTGATCCCAATTTGGATATGTTCCAACTCATTTTTGTATCTCCATTGATCATAAGACACAAAGACGACATTCAATATATAGGAGGTTAAAGAATGAAGTATTTCTTTTGAATTATTCCATAATTCTTGATCTTGTTCCAAATTGAAATCATCCAAGTAATTAAAGAACTCGATAGCAAGATCTAAAACGGTTATCGTTATAGGATAACGACCTTCAACACATTCTTGCTTTAACAGTAAATGATGTAATTTACATATAAACTGAGAGTTTTCTTCCGGGAAATCTTCTGAAGTTAACTTTGGTAAAAATCCTGATTGTAAAAGATATAACACGATCTTACCCTTAAAGTATGGCAACAAAGCTTTAACGCATCGCAGACCAGAAGTGATGAAATCAAGGACGTCAGGAATGTTGTTCATAACGTATTCGATAACAGCAAATATCGTAAACGCGAGATCGTTGTGAGGTTTATTGTCTTGAAAACAAGTATCCAAATGATCTAATATCTTTTCAACCAAACTCGGAGAATTAGATAAAAGCGCGTATAGGAGTTGTAATATTTCCTTGATTCGCGAAGGAGTTGGATCATCGAATAAAGTAGGATCGTAATCAGGAAGGACCCTGCCTTGTATTAAAGGAAATGATTCCAACATTTCCAAAAAGAGTTGCCATCCAGAATATTTGAAATTCCATTGAATTAATTTGTTTCCATCAAATCGCTCGATTATATAACCAGGTGTATTTTCTGGAATGGTAAAAATGTCTTGATAGATATTGTCAAAAAGTTTGATGGGTTCCTTGACATAAACCACATTTTCATTGGTTATTTCAAATTTGAGCTGCTCATCACGAACCAAGCAACTGCATTGACTAAAATTATTCAATAAGACAAATATTTCTTCGGCCGAATCTTCATCTCCAGAAAGTGCAGTATATAATCTCATTAACGGATGAAAATTCTGAGGAAACCTAGAAATTGCCCAAGTGAATAAGGAAATTCGCTTTTCATAAAACGAATCCTCTTTAAAGAATTCTCTACACGGACCACCATCAACAAATACTTGTGCAAAGCATTCAACCAGGAGTTGATGTTTGGGAATCTCGTGTATTTTAAATGCTTCAAAGATTGAGATAAAGTAAGTTTTAAAAGTCCTCTTATAACCCTTTACATTTAGTTCCTCCGGTCTGAAACATGGACCTTTGAATATCTCATGTATAGAATCTAGAACGTTAAGATTATAGGCCTTTGAAACATTTGCTGAAATCATATTATTAAAGTAACTTTCTAGATCTTGATACTCCTTTGGCCAACTCGTTTCATCATAAAAATGTTGTATATGCGTTAAATAAGAAGACCATAACCAGAGAAATATTCCGTTAGATGGATCATCATCCATCACCAATGCCCTTTCAATGACTGTCCTAACGTCATCTGATGGAGCCACTCGTTTCTTTTTTGCGTGAACAGACGGGAAAATTCCAGTGAAATTAAATTCAACTAAGGTCATGAGAACTATAAGAATTTGAGTAAAATGATTAACTTCAGTTAATGAACCTTGACCATTTGAGTTGATGTGTAACGAAAGAAATTGATTAAATCCAAATTTTGTGTTCATGCAATGAGTCAGGAATTTTATCAAATATTTTTTTGTTGATTGTCTAGGGAGTTCGTTATATATCAAACATAATAATTCTAATATCTCTATTTGTTCTTTAATATATTGCATTGAAAAATTAAATGGTTTAATGTTTTCCGGTATGAAGGCTTGTACACCGATATCAGCCAAATCTTGAAATTGATCAAAAATTCTGTCCAAAAATTGACTTATATTAAGATTTTCAATAAAATATTTTGCCGAATTATAATAATACCAATTCGTATCTTTAGAATAAAAAAATAATGTACACAAAATTTTAATCAAATTAAGTCGTTCTTCACAATAAAATTCATGTAATTTTGATAAATATTCTCCATTATCCAATTGATTATAATCCTCATATTCTGATTCGAAACTTTTCATCATAAAGTGAGTTGTTCGTGTATTCAACTGAAGTGCTTCGCTGGCTAAACCTTGTAAAGAACCATCTTTCGCAATCTTGGTATTATTACTATTATTAAAATAATCCAAACACACTTTTAATGATGGGCTGAGATGCCTTATTATTTCTTTCATAGCATTAGGTGGACATCTTATGTCTGCTTTTTCTAAAGCAAAACGTAAAGCTCGAAAAGATCTGTGTTTACCCCCAAAAAGGAACAAAAGTTTATTCAACCAGAGAGAAAAAAAACAAAACTTTTGATGAATATTATTTTTTAAACGACATTTTGTTTTAAAAATTTTCATAGCTCTTTAAGCATTATTCAAAAGATTTAAAACGCGTCACAATACAAAAAAACCAACCTTTTATAACGATTAAATACCTCTGGGTTTACTGAAGGATCCGTAAGTTCAGTTCTTACACCCTTTTGTGAAGTAGGACTTGAAAGAGGGGTATTTAACGAAAACCTAGAAGTCATTATTATGGTTTTCTCGCTCAAACAATTTGGGATAGTGTAAATGAAAAAAAATAATTTTTTATATCACAAGAGTTGAATAAATTACATGGTTTTGTAGATCCCAATTAAATAAAAACAAATAAAAGTATATTCGTAGGTTGCACAAGATTTGTCCTTCTATTCATCCACATGACGCGACATTTTACATATTTTTTTTTTTTTAATTTGATATATTTATTATACTTTCGCAATTTATCACGATGATTGAAAAAAAAAAAAGGAAAAGAAACATAAAATGAAAAATTAAAGAATCGATTGTCGCGGCAAAAAGATCATATAAATTTTTAGGAAATTATTGCTTGTCACTATGAGGTAGAATATTTGAAGAAGATTTTGAGTCAACAGGAACAGAATCATATGCAGGTGGCGGAACAACAGTATAAGCAGGGATAGGAGTATAATATACAATATAACTAGAATCTCTAATGTCACCATATTGTCTTTCGACCTTAAGTCTTTGATAATAAGCCCAGACAGCCATACAGAAATGAAGCTACAAATATATATATTTTTTTTTGTCAGCGTTGAACTCTAAAAAAAAACATTTGTAATAATTATTTTCATGGTAATAATAATAATAAACTTACGTCTATGATACAACTTATTGCGAGCATGACAACCATTGAAGCGGCAGTTTTAATATACCATTCCATACAGGATTCCATATCCATATCAACTTCAGGTTGCTCAATTAATTCTGAACAAACGTCTTTATCAAAATAAAATGCCACAACTGAAAATACTATTGAAATTGTAAACCCTAACATAAGTTGCCACCAATAAAACATGGCATAAATTTTCACATATTTAATGTTATTCTATATATAAAAAAAAATATACATTTTTAGTTTATGAATAACCAATACAATTAATATAATGATATTTTTACCTTTAATACACCAGTGATACCAGCAAGACAGGCAAAGGTAGCACCTAAATAATATGTAGATAATATAGTATAGAAGAATCCAAATTGGCCTGACAAGATTGAAAATTGATACGCATTTAATAGGTAAGACAACTAAATAAAATAATGTAGAAAGCAAATCAAAAAAAGAGAACGTAAAAGAGCAAGCGACATAAAAGATGCATTCAACGAGGTACTTACGGCCCCAAGAGAGGCTAAAATCAGGGTAGCCGCCCTAATAAACCAAAACCGTTGGTTAAAAAATCCCTCCCATCAACTTTTCGTAAAGACTTTAAAGTGACTTACCTAAGGCCAATACAGAAACAACACTTTGACAACATTATACTTTAAACTTTTTAATAAATAAAATGAAACAGAAAAAAAAAATTGGTTGGTATAAAGAAAGGTTTAAAGATCAGCTATAACCCATTAAACATCCTCATTTGTATTTATTGTATTCCATTAATTTTTTTTCCGACGCAGCATTCCTTTTTTGGCAAGCTACGTGTTTATTAAAAAATAAACCGCAGTATTATTGTTTTTTGTTCCAATAAGGAAAATCATGCGGATCTTATTTATATGGTCCGTGAATGTTTTAAAAGCATTAGGGGAGTAACACATATGACGTAATTGTTGTAGAGGGGAACGTCCCGCAACATCTTGCATTCGTAATTGAATTCAATATCAATTTTTTATTTTGTTTTATAATAAAAGAAATCACCTCAGCAAAACTTTTCATCCAATTGAACCACTTTTACCTAAATAAACTTGTAGTAATTTTGATTCGCTATTCTTAATAGTTTTGATAGAGCGAAATACTAATCATAATAACCTTTGTCACAGAATGTTCAATCGGAAAATACATCTAAATTCTATGTTTAATTGAAAGTTTTATTTCTGTTCGAAAAAAATTAATTGTTCCACAAGTTGGGGAAATGTTTGCATGTGTTCGTTTCGTGCCTGATTTAATCAAAATCATTATGTTAGTAATGTCATGTGAGTGACTTATTGAAACCGGGAATATATCCGGATAATGTTTATGTTACCTATTTTACAATTTATTAAATTGTCTCAACCTAAAAAAGTTCATCTATTTTTTTTTTTTTTTTTTTTTTTTGTTTTATTGTTGCTTTACGGGCGGATATTTTAATTGGTAATCTTTTTCACGTTTAAAGAGCAAGATATGTGGTTCAGGTGCGTGAATTAAATAATGTTCCCAACCTTGAGATTGATGTACTCCAAAACCTCTCCATTCTTCTTCTGATAATAATGTGTCTTGAGGTAAGAATTGTGCTATTTCTCTTGGTAAAGTGACATGCCTATATTCTGAAAGATCGTCGTAATATCTTGAAGAATAACAAATGAGCGGAGAATATTCTTTTATATAATAATTTCTACGTTCTTCATATGGTGCGTATTTTAATTTTTCTTCGTATTTACGACGTTCTTCCTCATATTTACGACGTTCTTCTTCTGTAAGCTTAGGTGGTTCTGGTTGTTCCTGTGCTTGTTGCTGCTGTTGTGATATTTGGTGTTGTTGAAGTTGTTGTTGCTGAAGTTGTTGTTGCTGAAGTTGTTGTTGCTGAAGTTGTTGTTGTTGAAGTTGTTGTTGTTGAAGTTGTTGCTGTTGAAGTTGTTGCTGCGGTTGCAGTATTTGCTGTTGACCTTGCATGATACTTCTGGTCAACCTTTTTTTTTACGTGAAAATGAAGGGAAAAAAAAAGAGTTGAAAAACCGAAGAAACTACCTGAAAACGATAAAAGTAATGTTAAAAACAAAAAAAAAACGCGACTAAACACAGTAAACTAGTCAACTGACTATAACTTACTTTTACTTACAAAAAATTGAGAGAAATATAACGCATTAACAAATGTTACTTGAACTAGTTTGAGTAGATAGACACTTTGAGATTGAATATTAAAGATTTCGCGTTTTATGATTAGATCACATGACTCACCATCTTTAGTTTGGTGCTACATCGAAACCAGCCAATCAAATCAAGTGATGAATTTTTGCCAATGCTGCGCCACGACGATTGTCAGCAAACACAGAAACTCTACTCTGAACGAGACGGTTTCTTGTCAAAAAAAAACCGACAATTTCTAGTATAAAAGTTCAGGAAAACATGGCACAACCTCCGAATGTGCCACAAGCACAACTAAAGGATCAAGTACCGAGAGATTCTAGAGTCATGCAGCTTATATTACAAGCTGCGGGAGTTGAAGATTATGAACCAAAAGTAGCTCAACAACTACTGGAGTTCGCTCATCGTAAGTTTATAATACGCATCAATATGTATGTTCGAGAATATTTCTCTATTAATTTGTTAATTTCATTTTATCATTAATTGGAACGTCTTATTGATCCTTTGGACATTGATAGGATATACGGTTGATGTTATTCAAGATGCTTCAGCCTATGCTGAACATGCCGGAAAGAATGATATTGATATCGATGATGTAAAACTTGCAATTCAAGGTCGTATTACTCATTCATTTACTGCACCACCACGACAAGAGGTTTGATATTTCAATCTTTATATTTTTTTTTTTTCATAAATCATAGTTTTTTTGTAAATATTAAAAGTTTAATATGTTACTTTAATATAGTTCTTGGCACAACTTGCTAAAGAACGTAATAAAGAACCATTACCACCTGTACCAGAAAAGTATGGTCTGAGGCTGCCACCTGATCGTCATTGTTTAACAGCCGTTAACTTTCAACTTATACCTGAGGTGAACTCTATTTCATTTTCGTTCCATTTTCTTTTTTTTTTTTCATTTTCGCTCTTGTTTTAATTTAGATTCTTGTGCTTTCTACTATGTTTGTCCTAAATTATCTTCTTTAAATTTAAGACTCAACCTGGTCAATTAGATTCATCATCAAATATAGACATATCACAAGTTTTACCTGATGATAATGATAATGATGATGATATGGAGGAAGTTTCATATAATGCCAATAAGGATAATAATGATGATGAATCTTTTAAAATGGCTCCTTCAGTGAAACCGGATGATTCTTCTGTAATTGGTGGAGTGGATTCAGATTATGATATGCAAGATGTTGAATCTCCTGAACAGATTGCCACTGTCACTATTACAAAAAGACCTGAAGATGATGATTATGATTTTTAATTTACTTTTCCTGATTTATAGATTACATAGAAAGGACTTTGTGAATTTATATATTAATATGGAGCCGAATTACATTAATTACATTTATTTGAAGTATACCTAATTGATTCTTATATGTTTATGCATATAGCTGAAAGCATGTCAAGTATTTTGCAAATCAGCATAGTAAAGGCCTTATCTAGGCACATTGAACGGATCGTCTCGACAACTTTTGAACTTGATTTGTTTCATACCTCACTTTTCTTTTAAAAAAAGGGGGTGAATCATACCATTTAAAAAATAGCTTATTCATCAAGGTCATTAACTATCTATTTAAAGTATCTTCTTCATTATTATATATTTGAGAAACTTTACTCAGATATCATGTTTATTAAAAAGAGTTAAGCAAGACCGATAGATTTATTTATAAACCAAGTTAAATAATAGAGTTATTAGTTTAATTTATCTTAATTTAAAATTTATTTATGATTCCTAAACAAAATCTCGGGTATTATTACTGAAAGTCCAAATATCTTCTGCTCACAAGTATCATAAAAAACAATTTCGAATTTTTAAAAATAAATCCTTGTAACTGGTTAAACTTGTAATTGATCCATGATATATATACAATCAATATAATCGGTAATCATAAAGGATATCGTTAAAACATGAGATCGATATCATATAAAAATACTCTTTTCCTTAGAATCCTTGTGATTAAGCTTAACAAGAGATCAACAATTCAACCTTCTTTAACCTCGTAATTAAAGAAGTAGCATTATAAGGGAACAAATCCTTTTCCATCAACAACTGTATTGATTGAATCAAGTTTTTAAAGATCCCCACGACTCGTTCAATCATTACCGAATTCCTTTCATCAAATTTCTTGCATGTGATAAGGAATTGAGTAATATCTTTTTCAAGGTATTTACAATAATTTAAAAGAAATTCCAAAAAGATAGTTTCATTTGAAATCAAAAAATCCAATAATATTGAGTGATTCATTCCTGTGGTAACCAAAAATCTCAAGAAGAAATCATGTGAAGTACAAAAATTCAAGAAATAATTGACTTGTGATGATATGCACTCGATGATTGATCTACAAAAGAATCCAAGGTTGATTTAAGAAAGAGAATTGTATTTGATAATTAATTAATGACTTTACGATCTAGATAAAATTATTATAATTACTTTCGTCCTCTCATGTTTTCCTTTTGAGACTCTTCGTTAAAATTGATCAACCTCCTCTCAAATTTTTTAAATAAAAGTTCCAATCGTACCAATTTTAACATGAAAGAAACTAGATCGCTATCATTATTGGTATACCAATTGAATATATATTTAATGGAATCTTCATTTTTTTGTAATAAACCTGATAACATAAGATGATAAAATGATTAAAAGATTCAATGAAATTTAACTTTACAATAACGACCGAATCGAAGTTACCTCGACTGAACGTTAAAATATCGTTGAACACGTGAAGTTTTACATCGTCTGAAATGCAATGATCGATCTTCAATACCTCTTCGTCACTTTCTATGTAATACCTCATAAGGGAAATATAAACTTCAATGTAAATATTTATTAATTTCCTTACGCATTCGATACTTATAGCAACATCAAATTCATTCTTATCGTGATTGTCGAAAAATTCGGTATGATCATCATCTAGCTTAAGACAACCGACAAGCGTTTGATCATCTGAAATAGCCAAAATTTTCTCTGTATAATTCCGTATACCAGTAAGAATTAAAAAGATCTAAAGCAGTAACGCCTATTATTAGAAAATAAAATATTGTGTATTCCACTTGATAAGATGTTCTTACCATATCAACATCATTTGAAGACTTTATTGTACAATGTAGAATGTCCAAGACTTTTCTGACAACTGGTGTATAACTATAACATAATAAATCACATATTGATTCAATCTTTGAGTTGATTTTTTTCAAAATATTTTGAAAGTCCTGCACTAAATGAAAGTCAAACACATTCTCTATCTCATCAGCTGTAAGTTTTTTAATGTCCAAAATGACGGTAAGAGTTGGAATGATGATCAATTTTTTATCTTTACTATCCATATCCATAACTTTTTCGAAATCAAACCGTTCATCAAGTATATTCAATAATCGACATCCCACGTGTTGTGTTAAATTATGTTCCTCAACTTCATTAATTACATCAGATAAACGATGCCTAAAATCTTTCAATATACTATGAAATATCTCCAAAGTTGATAAAACAGAAGCAGAGACCGACAAGTCTTTCAACTTATCAAGACTTGATATGTATATATCACACACGGTTTCTAATAACTGTCTTTGAATTTCTTCTAAATTAACATTATCTATTAACAACTTTTTTTTAGATGGAAAGGATAAGATAAATGGATTGATTGATGTTTGACGCGTCAAAAATATATTACAGCTTGCTATTAATGAATTATTACGTTCACACCTTCTTATTAGATATAAGTAAAAGCAAAAATGTCAAGATGTTTTTTCCCAAATATACGATAAAATCATCATTATGTACAAGATATCGAGCCTAAATTAATTAAATAAAAATATTTTAAAATAATAAAGCACGAAATTTTTTCTACCCCCAAAAATATGTAAAAGATACCAGAATATGTTGATTATTAAGGAGAAGGTAGCAGAATTTTGTTGCACATTCATTATCAAGGCAAGAAGTGTCTTGCATGTAATAACTCTGTAACACATGTTTTATAGTGGATAATTTCATTAAAAGTTCTTGTTGATATTTGAGTTCTTTGGAAGTATCAATAGTATTTAGGAACCGAAAATCCTATATGAATAAACGCGGTATTCTGGGTATTAATAATAATCTTAAGCGACGGCAACCAGAGGAAGACAATAAAATTTATTTATTACATTAAAAAAATTCTCTAGAAGTTCGACAGATGGTTCATTGAATTTATCGTGTGGTTCTGATGTTGTGGTAACATCCATGCTTTTATTATTATTATTTTTTTTAAAAAAAAAATGCCAATAAAGACAATTTTAAAAAATGATTACATTTGTTTATTTATTCGATGCGATCGATTTTATCACATACCCATATTGTGAGGTGATAATCACGAGATAACATAAACTTAAATACTTTAAATAAATACAATTTTGGTGATAATAATACATCACTATAAACTAAAACGACCACAGATTATAAATTAAGACAAGGATTTCCTTAATTGAACTTTTAATTTTTCTGCATCTTTAGCGAAATTACGAATACCCTCAGAAAGTTTTTCGGTAGCCATCGCATCCTGATTAAGATCCCATCGGAAAGTCTTTTCGTCAAAGGTGACTTTTGGTTCTGAAGTCGCTTTAGCTACGAAATTCGAATTAATGAATTAATTAAAAAATAAACCCAAAAAAAAACTTTCAAATCAACTCAACAGGTTATAAAATAATTACCTGATTCTGGACTCAACTTTCTTGCAATTTTCTTGTCGTCATTTTGCAATTCATGTAATAAACTGGGACTAATAGTTAAGAAATCGCAGCCAGCTAATTCTTCAATCTCACCAGTGTTACGGAAAGAAGCACCCATAACAATCGTTTTATAACCATAATTCTTATAATAATTATAAATCCTAGTTACAGATATAACGCCGGGATCTTCACTGGCTGCATATGTAATGCCAGTGCTTTTCTTATACCAATCAAGAATACGTCCAACAAATGGACTAATTAATGTCACTCCAGCCTCAGCACAAGCGACTGCCTAAATATATATATATATATATTATTTAAAACAACCAATTTTTTGAGATATTTTTTTAAAAAATATGACTTACTTGAGGGAATGAGAAGAGTAGAGTGAGATTGCAATGAATTCCTTCTTGTTCTAACTGACGAGCAGCTTGAATTCCCTCCCAAGTGGATGCAACTTTGATCAATATTCTTTCCTTTTTAATACCAACTTCCTCGTAAAGTTTAATAAGACGTTTCGCTTTTTCGATGGTTGCTTCCTTATCAAAAGAAAGCCTTGCATCAACTTCAGTAGAAACTCTTCCCGGGATAATCTCTAAGATTTTAACTCCAAAATTAATCAACAATTTATCCATCGCCCACTCAACCTTCTCATCAATTGATCCATTTTTCTTTTTTGCATATTCAATGGCCGATTCAATTAAATGAGAATAATTTGGTTTTTGCGTGGCGGCCAAAATCAATGATGGATTCGTAGTAGCATCTTGAGGCTTATATTGCGAAATTGCTAAAAAAGAAAAAAAAATTACCAAATAAGACGCGTTTAATACCTTCCACAAACAATTTGTAATACTTACTTTCAAAATCACCAGAATCTGCAACGATGGTGGTGTATTGCTTAATTTGATCAAGAACTGATGACATAATTTAATCCCAAAAATTTTAAAAAATAAATTTTTTTTTGGCATGAATTAGGATTTGATCTATATTTATAAACAAAAATGTTATGACACAAATATTTTTCACTAAACTATTTACAGTTTACATATTTTACAGTAATGAAATGATTATATAATTGATTATTAGTAATTTTGGATATCCAAAAATGATAAATTTTGTTTAAAATAGGAGATGATCATTTCAATATGATCAATCATTTGGATATTTATCAATGACTTGATTACGTAATAACAAATTATATATTTTAATATATATTATGAGAAAATTAAATAAAGAATCTTTATTAAAAAAAAATTTTTTTACGTATAAATAGTATCTAATAATAAACAAATATACATGATTAGAATTATAAGATTTATTATTATTATTATTATTTATAAAGTCAAAAAAATAGAACTGTTGTCCCGTGACTAGATTATCTATTATTGACTATTTAAATATCAAAAATAATTGAAAAAAATGTACAAGTGAAGATTATATTGATGGTTAACTTATGAACATGAAAAACAATACCTAATCCAATTAAGTGAGAATTAAAAAAATTGTTACTTTTTTATTTTTTTTTTATTTTTTTATTTTTTTATTTTTTTTCTCTTTTATAAAATTCATCATATCTAAGACGGAGGTTCTATTTTAGGATTTAATAATGGCGATGAACGGCGACTTTTACTCCGCTCTGTTGATGATTGTTGTGGTGGTAGTTCCCCAGACAAAGGTATTGAAGAAGAAGTAAAGTTACGTGTATGACCATGACCAACCAAGCTCCCCTGTATTCCTTGTACTATACCAGGCGAACTACTTGACACTACTATAGAAGGTCTGGGATGTAAAAGATGCTGATGTTGGGCATTATAATTTAATTCACTCATGACAGGTGTACTGCTTATTGATGACGTCGGACGTCCAACTAAATTTCTTTGCATAACATAATGTTGGTGCCTAGCCGGTGGTTGAGTAAATATATGATTAGAGTGACTAGTTCCGTTAAAAGGAGAACCCACTCTGTGAATTTGCGTTACTATCATTTCATTTGTATTATAATTAGGAGATTGATGAGGTTGCAACGTCGTGAAAGAACTTTGCTGCGAAACGTTGGTATTATGTGTTATTGGTGATGTTGTTGATGAACCCGTTATGTTGGCCGGATTGGATAAAACCCCAAACGTTGGAGGCCTGTTATATACATGAGGTACATAATTTTGCTGCATATTCATAGGTACGAATTTTGGTGTAGAGTTGTTGGATGTGATGTTATGAATAGGAATAACCGAGTTCGCTATCCTCTGCTGTTGAATTTGTTGCGATTGCCGAGGTTGTTGATGATGATGCGATTGTTGATGTGCTTGATGTAATGGTTGATGTACCTGTTGACCAGTTTGTTGCTGCTGAGGCATGTATACATAAAGTGGAAAAGGCTGTGCATGCTGTTGGTGAGTATTCGGCATTATATAAAACTGTCGCTGTTGTTCGATTTGTTGTTTCTGCAAGTTCGTCGCTGCCAACTCTTGTTGTTTCTGAATCATTTGATGATGCATTTGATAAGTTCGAGCGTATTGCGCCGACGGCTGTTGCTGAGATAAAGATGATGTTGAATTGCTATCTGAGCGATGCAACTCTAAATTTTGCGTCATAATAGGACGTGGAACTTGTGGCGGAACAACATTTTGTATGCTCGTTTCACCTGTTATACTATGTCTGCGATCATTAATCATCGGATCGTTACTGACTTCGCTTTCGTTATCTTTACTGCTTTGCTCGTCAAACCAATAATTAACATCTACATTCGAAGAATTATCTTCAGAATTCAACAATAATGAAATATTACTTTTTTGTGGCCCTTGTGGATTAGATCTTTTTGTACCGGAAGTATTTGATGGCTTTTCTGATAAGCTTAATATTTGTGATATTTGTGTTTGTCTTTCGGTAGCTATTTGTGAAATATTTACAGTATTCTCCGATGATGAAGTGTATAAATCAGCTCGAGGAAAGGTTGTTTCATTATTCTGAGAATTGGTTGATATATTATGTGCATTATTCCTATCAATTGATGATACACTCTGATTAACTGTAACATTAGACTTCGCTTGTGTTTGCTTTTCTTGTGAACTCCGTATATCTTCACTTGTGGTAGGTTTATTCCTAACTTCTTCCAAGTTACTTCCACTATTTTGTTTTTCATGATGTTTTTCATAATAATTTTTTACTTGAACTTCAGTTTTTGATTTAATTACATCGGCTATCTTCTTGAAATGTTTGCCGAATTCGCTTAATGATTGTTCAAATTGGCCAACTTCTCTTTTGTTCCAATAAGATGATATTTTCTTTTGTGTACGATCATCATTTAAAGTTGAATTTTTATGTGATGTAACTTCATTATCCATAAGATTTTCAGTTTGTCTTGTACGACCTTTGCTTTTAGTTACTGAAGTTATTTCCGATTGTGTGGAAGATTGTGTATCGTTCCCATCAAGTGACATCAAGTTAAAGTTACGAGCTGTTTCTTCAACACCATCATCATTGACAGAATTTAATTTTCGAGTCTCTTGTGCATCTGATATTACGACAGACATATTACTATTCTTATCATGACCTGTAATAGGTGGGCAGTATGAAATATTGCGTTTTTTCTTTACCGGCTCACCTTCTTGCTGATCAGAATCTTTTACCGCTGATACTTTTGACCTTCTTCTACCCTTTGGAACTCTAGCCTTCTTAGTCACAGACAATGTATTTTCCTCTACAACCCCTTGTATACTACTAGTATGATTCGATTCAGGATTATTAACAGGTTTATCTTGCGTTGTTGACTTGTCCTGAACATTTGATAATGCATTTTCAATATGATTTTGCGGTTGCATCGATATATCTGATCTATCCTCTGAATTTTCCTCATTAACATCATCTTTATGTACTTCCGGTTGTTCTATCGAAAGAGATATAGTTTCCGTGGTAATTATTGGTGGTCCTTCGATAGGTTTATTAGAAATTTCACCATTAGTTTCCTCAGAAATTTCGTTAATCGACGTAAATCCTTCATTAACATCCGAAATTTTACTATTATTTATAATTACATTAGTACTACTGGAATCTATTAAACCTATATTTTGATTATTATTATTCAATGTATTGCTGTTTTTTTTCGCTTTACTATTTAGAGCAATTGTACGCTGTCCTCGACCATTTTTTGGAATCAATTCTTTCAACTTTAATTCCTTTTTATTTCGATAATAATAAATAACACAATCATTAGCAGACTTATCTTTAAGATGCTCTGCGACTTTACCAAATTTTTTTGGAAAAGATTTGAAAAGTTCATAAAAATCTTCTCGTTCTTGAATTGTCCAATCAACGTTCAAATCGACATTGTAATCATAAAAACCTTCAGGATCTGGTATACTACGGTTATTATTAATGAATTTTACTTGTTGTCTTTCTTTCGGATCTAAAATCATGGGAGGAATGTTTGCCCACGTTTGGCATTTACGCTGTTCATCTTGCAGTATTTTCATAACTTCTTCCATTTCAGCTTCAGATCTGACAACATCACCACGACGTCTTCCTCTATTTGTTCGAACCGGCCATCTTGCTGCAAATCCAGATGTAGAATTGTTATCATTATCATCTTGTTTCATTTTTCCTTTCGTCTTTTGCAACATTTCAAATTTTTGTTTCCAAGTATAATAAAGTGTTTTCCATTCTTGTTGCAAAGCCTGCTCTTTAAGTTTAATACTTGCTTTCTGATCTTGCAATTTTTTTACTAACAAAAGACGGAGCCGATTGTGATCCAAAATGTTCTGTTTATAAAAAGGATAATCTGAAAAACTTTTATAAATTTCATTTGTTTGTCCCAAAGATCCAAAACGATTTAACGAATTAAAAGGAATAACAACACATTTATTTGTTTTTTCCTTGTTTTCTGAATAAATAATTTCCCACATCGTATTTCGTTTATATGCCTCCATGTGGGATTCTTGACAAGTGATAGAGGCATGATCTTCTTCATACTCATTTGTTACTTTATCATTTTCTGGAGATGCAGAATCCAATAACATGGTATCACCATTTTGAACACTATTTAATTTATTATTGACAGTCAAGGGATTATTAATATTCGCTTGTTCATTAGTGAGGGTTGATTCCATTTGTTCTACTTGAATTAATATAGCTTCTTGATGAAATTCAAAATTAACGCGTTTATTGGATTTAGATTTCCTATTTGCACGTGCAAGATTCTTTTCTTCAATGTACCTTCTCTTTTTATCAAGAAGGCTTTGATAGCGATCAATTTCATTCTCAACTTTTTCTATCTCTTCTCCTATTGCATTATAATCAATTTTATCATCTTCCAACTGAGTTGAACCTTCAATAATATATTGTGGAGATTGTGTAACTTCTGGAATTAAAGGTAAACTAAAGTTATCATGATTTACTTTTCCACCAACTTTACTACTAAGATTATCTGATTGAAAGTCCAATTCGCCATTCATTTCGTCATGAGAAGTCAATTTTTCTTGCGATTCTCCATTATAAATATTTATGCTAATATGATTAGAATTAATCGAAGCATCAATAGTTTCATTGTTCTTTTTCGATATCTCGACATGATATTCCGCTGAATCATCAACTGCATCAGATTCTTCCATTGATTCAAGTTCATTTTCATCAGAACAAACAGAAAGTTTATCTTCAAGGTAAGGTTGTGATAGCTGTTCATCATTTTCTCCCGAACTCAAATCCATATCAGCAATTTGATCGGTAGCCAGTCCATAATCCGCAGCTTCATCTTTTGATAATCTTTTCTGTTCTCGTTCTTTTTGTTCATTTATAGCAACAAGACCAGGATCTATACTTCTCCATCCCGTCCAACCTCCTTTCTCACAATCGTCATAACCATCAATCTTTTCATCTGCACCATCAAGATTATTTCCATCGAAAAGCCTTTCTTCGAATTCATTGTTCTTAGTTACAGTAGTTCGTATTTTTACAAGATTTTCATTATTAATTGATGGCATAGTCCCCGTTTTTTTACAATTATGTAATATTGGTTCTTCGGCTGGTTCTTTATATTGGTTGATTTCATCTTCATTCTCACTATTGTCTATACGTTTTTGTATTGATATTTTTAGGGGACGTTTTGATGAAAAAACACGCTCTGAGCGTCGTGGTGAAGATCCTCTTGAATTTCCAGCAGAAGACTTAGTTTGTGGAGATAATGACCGAGTAGATGCTTTTGTAGATCTACTACGATTATGAGAAGGTGGAGGTGAAAAATTTGTTATTGAAGATCTTGCAGATGGTGACGATGATCTCCTGTCTCGCTGTCTCCAATGATTGTGTCTAGTAGCCATAAAATATTTAGATTCCCCTCCTCTTGACAATGATGTTTCGTATCTTGAATCATGTGGATCATCTCTATAACCAGGCCCTCTTCGATAATCCCAGTCCCTTGGATACCTTTTTCTATGATAATCTCGATCACGATAATCAAATGGATCGTGTTGGTTCTCTCGTTCAAAATGTGAAGGTATATTATTATTCCGATATGACCGATCTCGTTCACGTTGTCTTTCTCTGTCACGTTCACGCTCTCTTTCTCTTTCCCTATCACGTTCTCGCTCTCGTGAATAAGGACTTCTTCCATTAGCCCATGCATCCCTCTCATCTGGATATCTATAAATGTCACGAAAACCATATTGATTGCCAGGACCAGGTGAAAAGTACTCTCTGTGGGCTGTTGTAGGCATTGTTGGTGAACTACCTGCTTGACGAAATCGAGTATCTCTATTAGGCATCATAAAACGATCGTCATACTTTGTCCGTGTCTAAAGTAAGTAATAATCAATATATCAAATTTATGTTAAAAAAATAAATTAAAAAATAATAGAAAGAGAAATTAGTCACCCGGATTTTTTGTTGTAAAATTTTAAAATGTAATCTTTTTTTTAGAAAAAAAAAAAAAACTCGTAAAATCCCATGTGCCATGAAGTAACCAAATTTTTTATTAATTTTTTTTTTTTTAAAGAAATAAATCCCAAACCTAATAAATATTTTGAATTTTTTTTTCACAACATAAAATCCGGATAACAAAAAATAAATTTGTAATGCAACAATATAATGAATGAAATCTTTATATATAAAGATCTAATGAAAATTATTTTAATAATCAATAAATTTGAAAACACTAAATTATTTCGATGATTTTATGTCAAATATATTTTAATGGAAATAAAATAAATAAATAAATTCTATTCACCTCTCGATCATTCATTAATGGTGGAAAGCAAATTTCCGATGGACCTATATCAGGCATATTACTTCGCAACATTCCTGTGGTTATATTTCTGCGTTCGCCAAACGATGAAGTAGCGCCGCCTTGAGGTATCCTATCCATATCGTCATAGTCAATCGGAGATCTTTGCCTAGGTCTTGAAAAAAGTGAACCCCTATTAACAGTTTGCGTTTGAGGTCGTTCGTCTCTGCATTATTTAAAAGAAATTTATGTTAATAAAATAAATAGTATTTCAAAATTAAAGTATCACAAGATAATAAGTTAACAAATCGTTTAGGGTACCATTTGATTTGCTTAACTAGCGTACCTTTCCCTATTGAATCTTTCATTACGCTGTTCTCGATCTTCACGATCTCGCCTAAGAAAGTAACGAAAGGACATTAGTAAACAATTTATCTAAACACAAAAAAAAAATGGTTCAGAAACCTTGACATCCTGATGTCCTGAGCGGTAGAAATGGTTGTTTCCATGACGTGTAAGAGAAAAATTTATTTAAAATTTTTGAGTTTGTGATGCGCATGTCAAAAATTAAAAATGATCGACATAGTGCATTTATATGACGATCAAAATACGGTTGTATCACATAAGGTTAAAACCTGTCTGATATACATAATTTTGGCCGAAGATCATTTATTTTTTTATTTCATATTACAAAAATACAAAGAAGATAAATATCAGTTGATTTATATAGTTAGCAAAATGCTTATACTAAATGTCTAAATCTTTAGTTTCGCTAAGTGTTTGATACAGTTTTACCATTTTTATAAACTTTGATATAATTTTACAAATGATATGCCTTCTCAATTTCAAGATACTTCTTTACATTAAATTATCTATAATATTGCTAATAGTAATATTACTTTATTTTATCTAGTGCTAACTTAATCTTAAACCTTGAAAAAACTTTAAAAATTATGAATATTAATTTAACTCCCTTTATCTTAAACAAAAATATGTTTCTTTCTCCTGTTAAATAAACCACTAATAACTCTATACATGCAGGATTTGAACAATTTTATAAGAATCTATATTTGATTTTTTGGTATCAAATTTTCTCTTAAAAAATGCTATATTTAAAAAAAGTATATGAGTTATGAAACTTATATTTGATGATGATTATTGATCTTTAAACTCTTTAAACTTATATTTGATATTTGGAATAATTTAAGATAATGATCAATATGAGAGATTTAAAATTTTGATAACAGAACCAGTTTTCAGATTTACCTTATATAAATAGTTTGTATTATCACAAACTTTATAGAATATAAAATTCTACTTTTTTAGAATAACCTACTTTTTAGAACATAACATTAACCTTTTATTTTTTAGCAAAAAATTTATTTATAACATTTTTTTTGATATAAAAGATGATTAAGCTAACAAAAAGTAACTTTTAGAACATTTCAATATAACTTCAATTTTTAATAATGGCTTGATAGTATTTTGCAATGTAACTAAAATCCAAAATGTAAAACTCAGATATTCACATAATAATGTTTATGTAAAAAGACATATAAAAAACAGTGATTGTAAATAGACTTAATAAAATTGAGAAATTACCAATTTTTTTCAGTTTGCCGAACCTATGTATATATTATTTGAAAAGTGTTTTATATTAGTTTATGTGAACAAATTCACCACACATATACTTAATGTAATATTAGAAAATTAGACAATTTTAGATCGTTTTGAACTGGTTTTAAATATAATTTCATATGTCTAAAACCTTGTTTTAAATTAAAAATATGTTTAAAACCTATTACCGACTTAACATATTCAGCTTATTATTATACATAGTGGTTATCCTTCATATAATTTATTATAAAGCAGTTATTTCTTGAAAAATTTCTAGAAAAAGTCAATTATAGCAAATTAAATTAATTAGAACTTGATTTACTTCATAAAGAAGTAATATGAAAATCAAAGTGATGTATTAAGAAAGAAATAGTTTGTAATACTAAATATGAACTTTATACATCAAATATTTCAGAAATATGTATTGAATGTGTTATTATTAATAATGATAAAGTATTTTAGGTAAGTAATAATAATAATATTAATATAATTACTTCTTAATTATTATTTATTTATTTAATCTTTTAAATTTTAGAATACTTTAAATAAAAAACATATTAATCCATCTAATATAAAGCATTTTCAAAAAATAATATTAAATGAAAATCTAATTTCAAAATTTCTTTTTAACAAAGATATTTTTACATTAATAGAAATACTCAGAATTCAAAATTCAGAATATCAAGAATCTTTTTTGATTTAAATTAGAAGAATTGGAAGAATATAAAGCATTTAAAAAAAAACTATATTTGAAGGATTATGTAAATTTATAGTTAAAATTACTAAGCAGGAAAAAAACTTTAAAATCTAACATATTCTGAAAAATATAGCAGTTTTATCATCATTAAATACTCAAGCTTATAATACTTATCAACTAAAGATGCTTGTCAAAACTCACTCAAAATAATTTCATCATACCCCTTACTATATTTTTAATGGTTATAATACATTTAACTGAAAGCCATTTGACTGAATCTATTTGTCATTGCATTAAACATCACACATCAATTGATATGATTACTATAAAATTATTATTTATATTATGCATATGCGTAACAAAAAATTTTTGGTCAAATAGCTTTCGATCAAACGTTCAGTTACAGTTTTTAATATAATTTCAGTTAATTTTAGATTTCAGGATTTCGTCGTACCCATACTATGTTTTAATATAATTTTAGCTGTTTATTAATTGCTTTTTTGAGTTTCATCCCTCATCTTTATTTTCACCAAAATTTAATTAGATAAACTATTCAAAATGTTAGATAAATAAATAATATTCAATTACTATTTAAAATATTTTAAATGTAATAAATTTTCAATATTAGATTATTTCATCAGAAATCCAAAGAATCTCTTCATAATACAAGTTTATTTTTTGAGAATATTGTTCAGGTTAAAAATTTAATGAACTTACTTAAATATAATAGGCCATGTATAATAATATCAGATAATACAAAGCTAAAAGAACAACTTGAATATTTATCCTTACTTACACTAGTCGAAATAATCCAATTCATCACTTTTTTAAAGTGCCGAATGTTGGCCAAAATATAATCTAATTTCTGCTAATCATTGCCAAAACAATCGGCATTTTTAGTTATAGCCGATGTTGCCCAATTCAGGTGTCACACAAAATAACATTCGACATTAACGATTGGTAGTAGTTTGATACGTTTGATACAATCGGCTTAAATTCGTTTAAC